TTCCGCTTCTGATTCATCGAATTGAACGTGGAATTGTTTTAAAAAGCTTCATCTTGTTATGACTACTGCTCAACATGTAATTCGTAGAACGTGCCAAAAAATGTTTCGCGTCTGAATCTATCTTGCACATTTCCAAATCTGCTCTTCGTCTGTGCACTGAATACTGTTGCCATATATGGTCTGATTCTCCTGCTGTACATCTCGAGATTCTTGACAAAATCCAAAGAAAGATCTGTAATATAATCGACCATGACCAGGCCTCATCGACGTGACATGGCTTCCCTCTGTCTCTTTTACAAATATTTTCATGGCAACTGCCCTGATGAGCTTTCTCCCGTGGGGCGCCGATTACATTAATTTAAGAATGCCACCATATCACCATCTAGGTCCTACCGTTTTAGTATTTCATGAAACATCTTGCTTGATATCTACTTTATACCGATTTTCTGGCACCTGTTATCTAAGATCCAAATAAAGTGTTTCCTTCTTTTTCCGGCATAAGTCAAAACCTTATATTAAACAATTCAGAGTATTTTTTTTTAGCCACATGACTCAATTTTAGTTATACTGTTAGTAGGTATTTTCATAATAATGTTCAACCAGTACCAGGCTCGGAAGTCGCTCAAGGTAGAGTCTTATTTTTAAAATGTTTATCATTGATTGATTCTTTTTACGGTTTATGAACGCTGACATGACGAGGAGCAAATATATCGACTGCTTCGTCTATTGCAAGGTAAGTTGGTTCACTTTGTTGCGCCAGAAAAAATTTCTAGTCAGAATCCATCTTGCACATTTATAAATCTACCATTCATCCATCCATTGAATACTCTTTTTGCTATAACTAGTCACGTGCTCCTATTATACATCTCGAGACTCTTGACGAAATCCAAAGAAAGCTCTGTAATGTAATCGATCCTGACCTGGCATCTCGACTTTAGTCACTTTCTCACCGATATTACAAATATTTTCATGCTAACTGCACTGATGAGATTTTTTTAAGCGTGCTACTAGATTGGCATTTAGGTCCCACCATTTTAATGTCGAAATATCTAAATAACACTTCTACTCTAACAGTTTCTTTTCTCGCAGTTCCCGCCCGTGGAACTCCCTTCCGTTTTCTTGCTTCCCAGATAACTACAACGTCAGCCGCCTTCCTGATTCCCGTCTTCTTGAGTTCCGGTCATCTGTCCTTTTTCTCAATTGCTCCCGATTCTCAATCCCTGTAAACCCCACACCCAAAGCCGCGTACTGGTGATATTCCCGCCTTGCTTGGGGTGAAATGATAAAAAAAAGTAATACCGTGTGGGTGACAGAGCGTGATACAAGGAAGAAGAACTTCCCGTACCAGTTCTATGACCGATTGCTGTATCAACTTTGTAACGTGATGGCAGGTGTCGGTTAGGTATCAAAAATCAAAAGTCAAGGATAGTTTGCATTCGAAAACATTGGTGTTTTTTGGGGGTTTTTTTATTCCTCGGGATCGACAACCACTGGCTACAATTTAAAAACAAACACAACTATCTTATCCACAAGACACGCAAAAGACTCATTCTCCGCTTCTAAACTGGAGATTGAAAATATTTGCTAAAACTTGCCCCTGTGCCAGATTTGTCGCTGCTCTGTGTCAATATGTGTTATACGGCAGGTGTCAGCAGCGAAAATTGCAAGTGGGAAGGACATAAATTGAAAATGTAGATTCACACCAAACCCAGAAATGCATCACCTGCCACTGAATTTCAATTATCTTCCAGTCTGAGAACATTGTCTCGTCAAAGAAATAACCTTGACTATGGTCCTCTCACCATTTTTTTTGACATACACACACCGATCATAAATATAAATGAACACACACACATACAAACACAAACACACACACCAGGAGTCCCCAGGTTACGAACGACTTCCATTCGGATCAATATATTGGTTGTGACTTCTGACGTAAGTCTATTGCCTCCTGCGAGTGAGTGAGTTAAGTACCATACGAGATACACTCTGAGGCGATCATGTCTCGTTCGATTCATGACTGATAAACGATTTCCCGCAGTAGGCTGGCATTTCTGCGGTTGACTGATTGCCAACCAAGGCTATAGGGTTCAGTATGTCCTGCTATTAAACCCCCAGCTGGAGAGATAACAGATGGATTCATAACCTTCCCAAGGGTATTTGCGCGTGAGTGAGTATATGAGACCTGAGTAGAATTCGAACCCGACACATTCCGATCCGTTGCATCGCAACGCACATCCGTAATGATTCATAATTGTAGTGAATGATAATTGTGCTATCATTTAACAAGTCTATCGTTGCTCTTTCGCTATTTCAATAGAATCGGACGAAATACAATCCTTACTCCCACCAGTCTTCAGACCCGCCATTCCAGGCATATTGTAGCGAATCACCTTCATTCTCATCATGTTACATTGGTGAGGTATAAGAAATAACTTCGTCTATGGTCATCCCTTAGTTTTTACCTACACACACCCATCGTAAATATAAGTAAACACACACACAGTAACCTATTGCGTCTTAGTGACTTTAGCGCCTTCCTTAGAGTGAAATAATTAAACAAAAATTTTAACCAAAATATATATAACCATAGGATCGGACGAAATACAATCCTTATTCCCACCAGTCCTGAGATCCGCCATTCTAGGCATACTCTAGGGAACCATCTTCATTCCCATCATGTTACATTGTTCCAATCGAGCAGCTTCTTCCCAAGAAGATGCTTCCACGAGCATTACAGTCTTCATCTGTCTAAGTCTACGGTTAACCGTTATATTCCCCAACTGTGTCTCTTCGTCTGCAACCCCCTACCTCGAGTGGCTACCTGGCTTTGTACAACGTGATCACCATTGCGTAAACATCATTATCTTTACTTACATTATTTACATTATTCAGGCTGTTATCCGCATCTTCATTGCGATATTGACAACGTTTCGGCCCTTGTACGCTCTGGCCTTCTTCAGGAATTTCGAGCCGAAGCCTTTATTTCGTCCACACTCTTTCCGTATGCCTCAGTTTTTTCCCTTTGACTCAACTCTCAATAGTTTGGGCTCACCACTGCTGTAGCCCCGGTGGACGTAATAATAGGTTCGGTTTGAAATTACAATCACCTGAAGAAGGCTGGAGCGTACAACGGCAGAAACGTTGTGAATATGGCAATGAAGATGAGTATAACAGTCCGAATAATGTAAATAATGTAAGTAATCATAATACCTCATCTCAGAGATATAGATAGATATTGAAGAATCGGCACAGACCCTATATATAAAAAATATGGAGACAACTAGAAAAGTCTCAGTAGAAGCTACGTTATGAATATAACAATGAAGATGAGGACAACAGTCCGAATAATTTAAATAATGTAAGTAATCATAATACCTCATCTCAGAGATATAGATAGATATCATTATATTTAATATCTCTCTTTTTTTTTATTTTCTTTGAGAAGGGCAAGGTAGGAGATAGTAAACGAAAACGGTGTGGTATTTTAATGCAATGTAATTGTATTGAATGTCTAAAATGTCGTGAAACGAATACCTCCTGTCGTGAGCCATCGTCCTAGAACCATTTAACATTATTATCTTAAACAATGTGTTTTTCCTTCTTTCGAGGTAGAGGAATCAGCAGTCTAATTTAACTGTTATTTGAACATATACGTTTACAATTTAGAAATGGTTTACGGACCATATCACGTTGAAACATTGGTTCACATATGTTTACCAAAGTTAACGTCGATCCTGATCAATGTACCTACATGGGAGACCACCTGGTGATGTGAACTTGAATGTATGGGTAGTGTAATGGTTAATGCCTCGGAATTGTTAATCGGAGAGCCGAGTTTCAATTCCAGCCAGGTTCATTATATTCACTTAAAAATAACAATAGGAGCGGAATTAACCACCGCTTTTCAAACAAGTTGTTGGGTGAATTAGTCAGACTTTTATCGCTAAAGTTATTATTATTTTCCAAAAAAGAATTTCTTACTATCTAAACATACTTTTTGGTTTTGAATAACCTGCAAAGGGTTGATAAGCCGTAAAAACTGAACCAATCAATCAATAATTTTGAAACAAAAAATAATAAAATGTGTAAATATACCAGATGAAACAGAAAGGAAACAGAAATAGGAAAGGAAATAGAAATAGGAAAGGAAACAGAAATAAGAAAGGAAATAGAAATAGGAAAGGAAACAGAAAAAGGAAAGGAAAGAGAAATAAGAAAGGAAAGAGAAATAAAGATGGAAACAGAAATAAGAAAGGAAACAGAAATAGGAAAGAAAATAGAAATAAGAAAGGAAACAGAAATAAGAAAGGAAACAGAAATAGGAAAGAAAATAGAAATAAGAAAGGAAACAGAATTAGGAAAGGAAACAGAAATAAGAAAGGAGACAGAAAAAGGAAAGAAAACAAATAAGAAATCAAACAAAAATAGGAAAGGAAACATATAGGAAATGAAAAAGAAATAAGAAAAGAAAAATATTAGGAAAGTAAACAGAAATTAGTGAAGTAAACAAAAATAAGAATGCAAACAAAATTAGGAAAGGAAACAGAAATGAAAAAGGAAACAGAAATAAGAAAGGAAACAGAAATAGGAAAGGAAACAGAAATAAGAAAGAGACAGAGATAGGAAAGGAAACAGAAATAAGAAAGGAAACAGAAATAAGAAAGGTAACAGAAATAGGAAAAGAAACAGAAATAGGAAAGGAAATAGAAATGAGAAAGGAAACAGAAATAGGAAAGGAAATAGAAATAAGAAAGGAAACAGAAATAGGAAAAGAAACAGAAATAAGAGATGAAACAGAAATAGGAAAGGAAACAGAAATAAGAAAGGAAAGAGAAATAGGAAAAGGAAATAGAAATAAGAAAGGAAAGAGAAATAGGAAAGAGAATAGAAATAAGAAAGGAGACAGAAAAAGGAAAGAAAACAAATAAGAAATCAAACAAAAATAGGAAAGAAAACATATAGGAAATGAAAAAGCAATAAGTAAAGAAAAAGAATTAGAAATATAAACAGAAATTAGTGAAGTAGACAAAAATAAGAAAGCAAACACATTTAGGAAAGGAAACAGAAATGAGAAAGGAAACAGAAATGAGAAAGGAAATAGAAATAGGAAAGGAAATAGAAATAGCAAAGTAAACAGAAATAAGAAAGGAAACAGAAATAGGAAATGAAATAGAAATAAGAAAGGAAACATAAATAAAAAAGGAAGCAGAAATAGGAAAGGAAACAGAAATAGGAAGTAAACAGAAATAGGAAAGGAAATAAAAACGAGACAGCAAACTAAAAAAAGGGAAAGGAAACATAAGTAAGAAAGAAACAGAAATAAGAAATGAGATAGAAGTAGGAAAGGAAACAGAAATACGAAAGGAAGCAGAAATAGGAAAGGAAACAGAAATAAGGAAAAAAACAGAATTAGGAAATAAAACAGAAGTAAGAAATGAAATAGAATTAGGAAATGAAACAGAAATTAAAAAGCAAACAAAAATAAGAATGCAAACAGAAATAAGAAAGAAGACAGAAATAGGAAACAGAAATAAGAAATGAAACAGAAATAGGAAAGGAAACAGAAATAAGAAAGTAGACAGAAATAGGAAAGGAAACAGAAATAGGAAGTAAACAGAAATAGGAAAGGAAACAGAAATAAGAAATGAAACAGAAATAGGGAAGGAAACAGAAATAAGAAAGGAGACAGAAATAGGAAACGAAACAAGAAAGCAAACAAAAATAGATAAGGAAACGGAAATATGAAGAAAAAAAACAGATTTAGGGAAGTAAACAGAAATTAGTAAATAAACAGAAATAAGAAAGCAAATAAAATTAGGAAAGGAAACAGAAAAACGAAAGGAGACAGACATAGGAAATGAAACAGAAATAAAAAGGAAACAGAAATAAGAAATGAGATAGAAGTAGGAAAGGAAACAGAAATTAGAAAGTAAACATGGGAAAGGAAACAGAAATAAGAAATGAGATAGAAGTAGGAAAGGAAACAGAAATAAGAAAGGAAACAGAATATTAATTTGAATGATGTAGGGATAAATATGAAACTATTTTGTTTTAAATTAGATGCGCCATTATTTTACTGCTGTCATAATTTTTAAACATCAATTAGTCATCATTCCATTCCCTTCTGTATTTTTATCTACTCACCTACTTTGTAATAAGTGATCTGAGCAAATCTCGAATCTCGTCAAATCGTCTCTCCGCACACATATTTAAAAAGGCCCGCCATTTTATTTTTCTTCATTCTACATCTATAAAGTTTTTTTTCAGCTTTTCTGGCAAATGCTTTAGCAAGAATTAATTCAATACAATCGTAGTGAGCGGAAACGCAGATTATACCATGGGTCGGTAACCTTCGGCAACCTTCGGTACGCACGTCACACATGGCACGCCAAGCAATTTTCAATCGCACACAGCCGTAAATGACATCACAAAGTCCCAACCAATAAGTAATACAACGCAAAGAAGATATTTAGCTGCTTCAATTTTAATATATCCTAAAGTATATATACTATATATTACTATTTAAAATATATTCTAGAAGAGGGATATTGAGCTTGACTTGTATAAAAAATACGTATGCACACTGAATGATTTTAAAACCCTAAGTCGACACATATTTAGCAAAAGGTTGCCGACCCCTGCACTGTACCATTAACATTAAGACAATTGGATAGAAAATATGATAATGAAAGTCGAAGGGGTATTGGTATAGCGAAAGGTGCCTTACAAAAGTTAAGCGAAGTATTAAGAAACAGGAAAACTTCTTTGTAAACAAAGAAAAGTGTACTGAACTGTTATGGGTCCTCCTCTATGGCAGTGAGTGCTAAACAATCGCCTTACAGATGGAAAAGTGATTTGAGGTGACAGAAATGTGGTTCTACAGGAGGATGCTGAGAATACCATGGACGGAACATGATTGTAACGGGGAAGTTTTAATTAAAATGGAAACAGAAAGGAGACGTTTACATAGAGTCAGCAAAAGTCAATTGAAATTTCCAAGGTACGAAATGGGAAATGAAGCCTTGAAGAATCTGAGGCTCCGAGGACATCTTGAAGGCAAAGAACACAGAGGAAAACAATGGCTATTTAACTAATGAGCTTATGCAATTATGGTTGGCAGAACAGGGTAAGGAGGAATAATAAAAACAAAACAAACTTTACTCAGAACTAGAAAGGATAAGTGGCGACTTACAACAAAATCAAACAATAGATATAAATCCCAACCCCACAAAAACAAAAGTACACCCCTAATTCCCCTCTCCGACCCAAATGTTTGCCTTCCAACTTTCATGAGGTTAAACTCTATCTTCACGTTGTCGAACTTGACCTGTTGTTTGTTTTTTTTTTCCGAAAACTGGCATCCCTCTATCTATCCCAGTGAAGTAACTCGAAATCCTGGCCTATTCTTCATTAATAGTGAAAGATAACCCAATGGGCGAGTGGCCGAGTATTTAGAACGGTCGCATTTTGAACATAAGTACCCTGTTCAAATCTCACCTTAATCGATTTGTCAGGAAGGAGAGGGTCGATCCCAGTGTGCGGCACCTTTAGAAAGTGTCTGAAAACCATTGATGTTTAGTCCTTTCTTTTCACTATCCTTTATTTAGCTTCAGTAGAAGATCCTCTCGTTTCTTTTCTGTGTCGGTCCGGGCGGTATATGAACTTAATAAATGAGTAAAAGTGTGTGTATGTGTTTTTTTTTTTTTTATTTAGCTATATATTTTTGTCTGTCTCTACGCAATATACATTTTTTTTTTACTCATGAGTTTTATACCATCGTCTTGGAATAACGGGTTTCACAAATCGATAATATATTTAAGCGATAATGACAAGCAAATACTATCTTTCATTCAAAAAATCGGTGGGTGTTAGAATATTTGAACAGAGAATATAAATCACAGCTTTGTCAGAAATTAGGAAACTTTCGTTTCATTTGCAAACGCCGTTGTATTTTTATTCTACTTTTCTCTCTATCTCTCCATTTCTTTCTCGCTCTCTCTTTATCTTTCTTTCTCTCTCTCATTCTTTCTTTCTATCTCTCTGTTTCTCTTTCTCACTCTCTTTCTCGTTATCTCTTTCCATCTCTTTCTCTATGTTTCTCTTTCTCTATCACTTTCTCTCTATTTTTTCTTTCTTGCCCTCTTTTTCTTTCTCTGTTTCTATCTTTCTCTGTTTCTATCTTTCTCTTTCTATCTTTTTCTCCCTTCCTCTTTCTTTCTCTCTGTGTCTTCCTATTTGTTTTCTTTTCACTGTACTTTCAACTTTTCTTCCTCATTTCTTTTTATTTCCTCTTCCGCTTACCTAGTTTTATTTGCGTTCATTTTTTTTCATTTTTTTTTTTGGCTTTCTTTTTCATTTTAATTATTCCTTCTTTTTTTCTTCTTTATTCAACATATTAATGCCCGTTTTTCTTTTTCATTTTTATATATTTCTCTGATTTTTTTTTTGCACACTTCCTATTTTAATTTGTTTTGTTGTTTTTTTTCTTTATTTCTTTTTCATTTTTTTAAACCTCACTTTCTTTTTGTATTAGATTTGTTCTATTTTCTTATTTTATTCTTCCATTCTCTTCTTTTTCATTTAGATTTTTTTTTGTCTCTTATATTTTGCTATTCTATTTTCCTATAATTTTTTTTCATCCTTTCTTTTTTTCTCTTTTGTTTTTATTGGTTGTCTTTTCCTTTTTTTTTCTTTACCTTCTTTTATCTCTTTTCATTTCTTTCCTTTTTTTCTTTTCTTTCCCTTTCCTTTTCTCCTTACTTTTCCTCCTCTTTCCTCTTTTCTTTACCTTTCTATTCTCTTTTCTTTTCCTTCCTTTTCTCACTTATTTTCCTTCACTTTTGTTATAGTGGAACACACCTTATCTATAGTTAATAGACACTCCCACCTATACTAAGTAGTAATAGTAATAGTAACGAGCAAGTCGCTCAGTGAATCGGTCTGAGTTCAGTCTGAAGTCAGACGACCGGCTGACCCGTTGAACTCTCTGCCTTCGGCCGGGTAGGAACCCGAACGTGGCTACGCCGAAGGGCGGAGTCTCTTTCGGGGAGGTAAACCGACCCTGAACCCGTTTATACGGGTTCAAAGGGCATATTTTTGGCCGAGCCCACGGACTCGGAGATCCCACGTTAAACCGGCCTTGTGCCACATGATGCCCTCGTGGGGGTGACTAAATACCGTCGCTCAGTGAGTTGGTCAGTCAGTCGATGTCGGACGACCGTTAGTCGGATACTAAAAGGATCAGCGACCACCACTAGATTTCTCTGCGTCATTAACTATTATATCAAGTTCCTAACGTTTTGTACGTCGAACCTATTTTAAGGACCGACTTAGTGAAATACAAGCCTCCACTGTGAAACTATTCTACACCAACTTTTCTCTTTCATTTTTCTTCCTATTTCTCTTTTCCGTTTTCTTCTTCCTTTTCTTCCATTTTCTCTTTTCTTTTCCTCCCCTTTTCACTTTCCCTTTCTTTTTCTATTTTCTTTTCCTCCTCTCTTTTCTTTTTCTTCCTTTTTCCCCTTTTCTTTTCCTTCCCTTTTGATTTTCTTTTCTTTTTCTCTTCTCTTTTCTTTTTTTCTCTATTCTTTTCATTCCTTTTTCTCTTTTCTTTTTCTTCTTTCATTCCTGTTTTTTCTTGCTGTTTTTTTCCTACTTTTTATCTACTTATATTCAGTAATTTTTATGACATGTTCTTTTTATCTTCGGTTTCAAATGTTGTTCCTTGCCTCATCTTTGCATTTTTTCTTGTCATCTTTTTAATCATGTCTTGCCTCCTTCACTTTTCATTCGGATGTTTCATTCATTCAGTTATTTTTCTCCTTCATTTTCCTTTTTTCTCTTTTTATTTGATCTTTTTTATTTCTTTTATTTATTTCAGTCTTTCTTCACTTTCCACATTCTTATTTTTTTTCCTTTATATAAATTCCGTTCATTTCATTCCCTATCTATCGTTTCATATGCACTGATTTCATTTAGTTATTTAATTCTGATTTAAACAAGTTGCTGGTGAAATGATCTATGTGCATATGTTAAAGCTTGGACATATTTATCTCCCTCATACTTATCTATCTATCTATCTATCTATCTATCTATCTATCTATCTATCTATTTTTTACAGTCCGTTCATATATAACTCTTACATCCTCATCTATCTCTCAAAATATCTATTTCTATTCAAACAGACACACACAGATACACACACACACACACACACACACCACACACACATACATACACACACACACATATATATATATATATATATATATATATATGTGTGTGTGTGTTTGTATCAGGGACTTGCCGTCTCTGAATGAATTAAACACGACTGACAAGCTATTGCAACACAACTTTTTTATTTAACTTTTATATATCTTTCTTTTTTCCAAATATCTATCTATCTATCTATCTATCTATCTATCTATCTATCTATCTATCTAATTCTATTCCTTATACCGTGTGTAACAGCAAAATTGTCCAAATCGTATAACAGAATAATTGTTCATCCCACAAAATGTTTAATACCTAAAAAAAAAAAAAGCTAGACCTATTGAGTTTCTTTTTCCAGGTTTTCAGATAAAACGTTTAGCTTTCTTGACACCATTTGTTGGAAGAATCACTATAAAACACTTTATTATTCGAATAGAATGGGAACAGGTTAAAATCGTTTTATGCCAGTCTCACTGTCGTATAATTATACATTCTTATTGCTCAAAGTAAAGTGTAATGGGTTTATGAAAACCTCGGAGAATGCCAGTAAGATATCTTTAATCATATCGAAGATACAACGGTTCAAAAATTACTATAACAAACAGACAATCTTACCATTACAAGATTTGGTCACTTTCGCTGTTACACAGTATATATATATATATATATATATATATATATATATATATATATATATATATATATATATATATATATATATATATATATATATATATATATATATGTGTGTGTGTGAAAAGTGTATATAAATATAAATAAATATATATATATATGTATAATTATTTATATATTATATGCGCGGTACTTATTAGAAAGCGCTCAATATCAGAGATAGAGCTAACATATTTGGTTGGATAGATGTGAGTTTGTGACCCTGGGTTTCACGCTTTAGCGATCGTCAGACAAACTGATTAATGTTTTAAAAATTTGGGTTTATGTAGATTGCGTGTATTGGTGTTATTGTGGAAGTGGTGGGGGAAACTTCGTCGTTTTGTCATTCATCGTACTAACGCAAATATCGATGTATGCAGACACATATACATACTTGGTCGTCCGTCGGGACTCATACATATATAAACATATGTGAGCAGTTTCGGATATGACATATGTATGTATACGGGTGGTGTTATGTTTATACATACGCATTTGTATGTTGAAATGTTGAAATTTAAACATTGGAAGTGTGGCGGAAATGTCTCGTTAATGTATACATGTCATATTATGTATTTTTCCGCTGAATAATATTTCCTCGCATGTATGGTGGGGTTTGTGTAAAATTATGATAGGTAAAAATTATTATTATTTATATTTATTTTTAAATTTTTGAAAAAAAATGGTGGTTTATTTGTTATATTTAAACCTGGTTATTTGTTTGTTTTTTGGTGACTGTGTATATGTAACAGGTAGAAATTTGTAATCCTTATTGGTTAATTTATATGGTGATGTTTAATATTCAATGTGCTGGGTGAGAGGATAGTTCAATTTAATAACGGGTCTATATGATATGATGTGATAGTAATGTTTCAAGGGATTGGAGACAATGATAATATAATTAGCTAATAGTTATTGTAAATTGGTAGAAATGATTAGTAACGGTGGTGGGAGAATGATAAAACCATGAATGTAGTTATAGTGGTGGTAGTTAGTGGTGGTAGCTTGAACTAAAAAGTGGTTGTTGGTGTTTTATTTTATTTTTATTTTATTTTGTTATATGTATTAATTTATTTTGGTATAAATCCTGATAATAGGTATTCTGTGTAAAATTATGGTAGTTGAAGATTGCTATAATTTTTAATTTTTAATTTAAAAAATTATTATTGTTATTATACTAAAGTTGCCTGGTAATAGGTGTTTATTCTCATGGTTACATATGGAAATTATATCTGATCATATTGTTTTAAGGTATTAAATATGCTGGGGGAGTAATAAAGATTGTAGTGGATTTATATGTTAATAGTGGGTGTGATGTGTAAGTGATGGTGCTGTGTGGGGTCGCGCATTGTCCTGATGAAACATCACCTCTTTTCGATTCACTAGAGCAGGTCTTTTTTCCCTCAAAGCTTGGTTCTAACGCTCTAATTGCTGACAGTATATTTGAGCATTAATTGTTGCATTAGGTGGTAAGAATTCAAAGTGGATTCTTCCTTGGTGATCCCACCAGATTGAAAGAAGAACCTTTTGCCCATGAAGTTCCCTTCTCGGCTGTGGCTGGGGTCCTTCCCCTTTGCCAAGCCACTGTCTACGACGAGTAACATTTCGATAAAGATCCATTTTTCGTCGCCAGTCACACGTCTATCCAAAAAAGGTGAAACAAGTTGGCGAGAATGGAGAGAAGAGCAGATGTCAACTCGGGATTTGAGGTTGTTTTCAGACAATTCATGAAGCACCCATTTTCCAAGTTTAGGAACTTTTCCAAGTTGTTGAGGATGACAATGAACAGTTGTATGGTTTGAACTGAGAACCACTGCCAATTCTTCAACTGATAAAGCAGGATTTTCTTCAAGGGCTGCTTCAAGAAGCATTTCATCAAACTCAACTGGACGTCCAGTTCGATCTTCATCTTCAAGGGTGAAATCTCTACCTCTGAATTTTGCAAACCATCTTCTGCAAGTTATTTCATTCACACATTCCTCTCCATAAACTGAGTGAATGTTTCTAGCCGCTTCGGCTGCTGAGTTTCTTTTCTTGAATTCATAAAGCATTATGTGCCTCAAATTATTCTTGGGTACTTCCATATTTGCAGGGTTTTAATCAAACAAAATTTAATTTTATCGTTCTCTGAAATAAAATTTGATCAGTTTAAATGCATCTAAACATAAAAATAATGCTCCATTAGATATTATAAAATACTCTTTAAATTTCGTTCATTTTAACAAAAAGTTAAAATTCGGATAGAACTTATAGGAGGACCTGATATATATATATATATATATATATATATATATATATATATATATATATATATATATATATATATCCCATTATTTATCTATTTATCTATCTCAGCGTTTGAATGAATCCCGCTTTACTATTTTCAAAGCAGGATTTATCAATCAATGCACCTAATTCTGTTAAAATCTATTTACTCTGCCTATTTTCTTCAAATGTAACATTCATTATCTCTTATTTGAAATCCGCCAATTCCTCTCTGATTTTATTTAGCAATCTCTTTATCTATCTCAAATAAGCAAAACTATATCAACAACCAATCGCAGTTTACCATCTTATCTATAACCTGAGTTTGGTTCACTTCCAGACTATCTATGCCTGTCTGTCTGTCTGTCTGTCTGTCTGTATCTATCTATCTATCTATCTATCTATCTATCTATCTATCTATCTATCTATCTATCTGTCTATCTATCTCCTAGCCTCTTATATTATTCGTATTTTGTTCCTATTAATCTTGCGTGAATCTGATGAGTTCATCGGGGCTCAAAATTTGACAAGTCATTTCCCATATTCAATCCTTTCTTATCTTCCGTTCACAAAAATATAAAACAGTTGACAAAAAAATAGACTATTTTCTACCTCACAGATACCGCTAAGGATTTAGGGAAAGGGAGACAATTCAAAAATAGAACAGACAGAACAACCATTGGGACTGTTTTTGCAATGAGGTTATTTTACCTTATTTAATGTGTAATTACGTTGCTGTCTGGGATCTCAGATTGGCTGATTGCATTTGTGCAGTCGTTTTAGAAGACCAAGACAGCAAAATCGGCTTCAAGTTTAAAAGGATATGTTTGCCAATATCACACACACACACACACACACATACACACATACATACTTATATATATATATATATGCATATACATATATATATATATATATATTTGGTTGGATAGATGTGAGTTTGTGACCCTGGGTTTCACGCTTTAGCGATCGTCAGACAAACTGGTTTGTCTGACGATCACATCTATCCAACCAAATATGTTAGCTCTATCTCTGATATTGAGCGCTTTCTAATAAGTACCGCGCATATAATATATAAATAATTATACATATATATATTTATCTATATTTATATACACTTTTCACACACACACACACACACACACACACACACACACACACACACACATATATATATATATATATATATATATATATATATATATATATATATATATATAGGGTTGGACAAAATAATTGGAACACTTGTTAAATTCAAAGAAAATTTAATATGGAGTTGGTCCTCCTTTAACCTCACAGACAACTTTAATACTTCTAGGAATGGAATCATACAGCTTCCTGACTTCATTCAGAGGAATTTTCAGTCATTCTTTCATTAAAACCTTCTCCCGCTCTTTACGACACGACGTTGGAGGATAGCGGCTCCTAATTTGTTGCTCCAAAATGCACCACAAATGTTTAATAATATTGATATCTTGAGATTGGTGAGATCACTCCATGTGTTCTAGCTCACTTTTACTCGAGTGGTATGTATTTGAGCATTATCGTCTTGGAAGATGCAGTCACCATCAGGGAATAAAGTCTTGGCCATTGGATCAACATGATCTCCCAAAATGTTCAGGTAATCTTTGCTGTTCATTCTACCACGCAGTGCAACTATTGGACTGAGACATTTCTATGATATGGCGGCCCAAACTATCACTGATCCACCTCCATGCTTCACTGTTGGAAGAAGGCAGTCAGGGTTGTAAGCTTCTTTGGGCTGCCTTCACACATAAACTCGCCCTGAAGTTGAGAAAAGAGAAAAATTGGACTTGTTTGAGAATATGACTTCCATTGGTCTGCAGACCAGGCATTGTGGTCTCTGCACCACTTCAACCTCTTTTGAATGTTGCAAGTGGAGAGAAGAGGTTTCCTCACAGCCGCTCTTTCATGATATGCAGCCTTATGGAGCTTACGGTGAACAGTTTTAGTAGAAACTGAACTATTCAGATGGTTATTCAACTAAGCAGTCACTTTGGCCGATGATATTTTTCCACATTGCGTTTCAATGCACATAAGTCCCTGTCAGTAAGTTTGCAAGTCCGGCCTGAATTGCTCCGGTTGCTAGAGGTCTTGCCCTGTTTCACGAATTGCATCAGTGTTCTTGATATGGTAGCTCTTGAAAAACCAAACAGTTCAGTAACCTTAGTGATTTGCTTTTTCGAACTCGGAGAGGTCATGCATTTAGCTTAAATTTTACTAAATTCTAAAAATAAATAAGACAAAGACAGTAAATTAGATAAATAAACGTATTTACAATAGATATAACCTGCAATCACGAAGTTTTAGTTAAAGTTCTTAATATAATAGGTCTTTGAAATATAGAAGTGGATTTTGCAACTGTTCCAATTATTTTGTCCAACCCGTATATATATATATATATATATATATATATATATATATATATGTGTGTGTGTGTGTGTGTGTGTGCGTGTGTGTGTGTGTGTGTGTGTATCTTTTCCGTTGAATTGACCAATTAAATAGGTCAAAGTCTGATCCTTACCCCCTCTTTCCTCAATATTAAGTATTATAATAAAAAGAAATATAAAAATAAATTTTAAAACTCTCCCTTCTCTCTCTAAACTCGACCATGTCTCTCACACCATTCCTCACCACCCTCTATGTCAACTTATATAAGCTTAATACTGCCCGTCAAAAGTGTAAATTTTAAATTCATTTTTCGTTTCACCTTTTGAAAGTGAAGTCTGAAGATCCAGAGAAAAATAAAATTCTCTGGTGAAATAAATTATTACAAATGGAACCTTAAAGTTGTCAGTTTTTCTTTAAATTAAACTCTTCGCTCTCACTTAACATTGAGCTCTCAGGATTTCATCCTCTTTGGGATTATCCATACGGATTAGCAAGATTTTCGTTAACTATATATATATATATACAAGCATTAATGCAAATATAAATTTTGTCTCTTAGCTGATTGGTGTTACTTCAGCATGCAGATTCCAGAGTTTCATAGACACACCCTCCAGAAATCACTCCGTTCACTCTTCTGGAGTGTTTATGTATAGATAGAAAGCAATTCTTCTCTAATACATGTCTCATTAAAAAAATAAAGACCAAGGTATTTCTGTTAAGTTTTCTTTATCATTTCTTTTTTTAATTTTGTGCGAGCAAGAGATTTCGTTTTTAGGCATTGCGTATGTAAAAAAATATCCAAATAATTGTTCATTCCGGCAGTTTTCGACTAATCAATAAGGCATTAAAGAACTTTCGTTATGTTATTGCAACTGAGGTAAGACGTAAAAATAATTCCATTCCCAAATATAGTTGCGAGAGTAGACCACACAAAAAGGTGAAGACAAAAAACCCAAATTGACAAACATACGCGCACAATTCAATTACAAATACTCATTACCATCCGTTGCCCACTTAGACATACAAGAATCTTTACAAACATACATGCACATAGAATTAACGACGATTTTAACACACGTGACACGTGTCTAACAGATAAGAACTGACCCAAACATAATTGAAAATATTAGTGTTTTCTGTCTTTTTGTCTGTTTTATCTCAGACTCTGGCGAAGCTTTAATAAAGGTGAAATATGTTAGATTGATATACCTTTCCTATTTTTTATTTTATTTTATTTTCTTTTTATATATATATATATATATATATATATATATATATATATATAATTATTTATGAAAAAATATGATTCCAACGCTACATAAGAGTTCTCGTGTTTCTACTTTTGTATCGAGCACTATTTCTAAAAATAATAACAAAAATACTAAAGAACTTTGGATTATTTACCTTAACCCATATACTTAAGTATATTTATGGCGCTCACCCCGTTAAAACGACCACATGTCACATCCTATTTTGGGGCGGAGACCATGATAAATATATCTGTGTGTCAGAAACCTTATCAGCTTTCTTTTTTTAACTAACGTTCGACCAATATAAGGCCCAAAAGCCACATAATATTACTGAATGATGCTGTTGCATAAGCTGTCATAGGAGGATGTAAGAAGTATATTTTATGAGGATATGTGGGCAAGATAACGGTTAACCGTAGACTTGAGCATCATATTGGGAGTCAGTTCCACAAAGTAGTCATTCCTAAGAAGAATCTGTCCAAGTTTGGCTTCCTTCTTACAAATAGTATAGCAAGGTAATGGGATGGTTTTTCTCATTCTACATGGAAGAGGGGGTCTTAATTTTGAATTCCAGAAAATTGGCCAGGGAAATAACGACAGATTAGCTATTGGAAACAGCTTGTCACTGTGCGATAAATATAGTTTAGGCATATATTGTCTATACTAAAAGCTCAAAACGGTAAGAATTTAATTTCAGCGTCGATTTCGAAATCCTTCGTACAGGTAAATTAACTTCAATTGGGAGAAACCAGCGAGTTTATTTCGGGATTTGATGAACAGACTCTATTCTATTCTGGGTGCTGTCGATAAAGAATAGACGGCGAAAGGCTGTATCTCTGATCGCCGAATGTCTAGGGTCGAGCTAAGAAGAGGCGATCGCGTCCGTGAGAGGTAGGAGAACAGTGATTAAAGCCTTCTCTGTAGTCTCCACAAGAACATCGTGGGTGACCGGGGTTGGAAGACGGTTATCTTTGAAATATTTATGACCTCTTTGTTTTCGGCCAGAGACTGTCAAGTAAACCCTGTTTTATGTCAAAGTCCGCTTTGTTATTTCATGATGGACGTCTTTTGAAACGAGGCGTCTTCGCGTTGGTGACCAGAAAAAGAATATACATTTTATAGATTATCGATTGGAAGTTAAGAGGGGCGTTTGGAATGAAAGGGAGGATCAGAACTGAACGGAAAGTCTCTTTCTTTTTCTTTCCTTTTTTTCTTTTAAATAGGAGCGAGAAAATTAATTGGAAATTTACGTGAAAGCGATAGAATGGATAAAAGAAAGAGAATAACTTGTGATAAAGGCAAATGAGAAAAATACTAATAAACACGGAAGAAAGGAGATTATTTCGAAAAGGGGGAAAAAGAAAAGAAAAGGAGATGAAAGCACAAAGAAATTAACTGTAATCGTAAAATAAGAGAAAGAAAAGTATAAAATGAAGGAAACACGAATAATAAGTCCAAAGAAAGTGAAAAGTAATACGTTATATAGTCACGTATCATGCAAGATTCGAAGACATTATTTTGGAGCTAATTTTAAGAGGGTCGTATCATATACGACATATAAAATTACAGTATGCACTGCTGGCCCTGGCTACGCCATTGACCAAACTATATATCCATTTGAGTCACTTATGTGCCATGCGTGATACACGCTTAGGCGATCATGTATCTTTCGATACATACTGACGAGGAAGACTTTTTTCTTACTGCAGTAGGTTTCCATTTCTTTCTACGGTAGACCAGTTGCCGTCCTAGGCTATAGAACCCAGTTTTCCCTGATATTTGCCCATAGCTGGGAAGAGAAACAGAGGATTCATACCTTTCCCAAGGATATTAGCACGTAAGTGAATGTAGCGGATTCGACTGGAATTCGAACTCAGTTCAGCTTCAAGAATAAGGTCTTCAAGGGTCGCATGATACGCGAGTATATACGGTTCATATCGGAATATAAAGGGGAGGGGGAAGGAAAAAGAGGTGAAATAGAGGATGAAAGGCAAAGAAAAATAAGAAGAATGAAAAAAGAGAAAGAATAAAGAGTATTTCTGAAGAGTGAAAGAGTTTTATTTGAATCCAAGAGTTTCAAAGAGATCTAAAAAAAAATGGAAAAGAATGAACGAAATGGGAAGGAATGAAAAGGTTAAAATTGAATAAAGGTAACAGTAAGGAATAGGACGTGCAGGAGAGAGTGAATTAGATGAAGTTAAGGGATTCTAAAACAAACGAGAAAGAAAAGAGGATAAAATAAATGCACAAAGAAGGCTAAGAATGAATGAAACATTAGAAGATAAAAGAAAGAAAGAACTGCTTATAAATGGAGAAAGAAAGTATTCAAATTAACAAATGAGAAAGTCAAGAATTAGTGAAATAGTAAAGAAAGAAAGAAAGAAAGAAAGAAAGAAGGGAATAGTAGAAAGAAAGAAAGAAAAAAGAAAGAAAGAAAGGAATAGTAGAAAGAAAGAAAGAAAGAAGGGAATAGTAGAAAGAAAGAAAGAAAAAAGAAAGAAAGAAAGGAATAGTAGAAAGAAAGAAAGAAAGAAAGAAAGAAAGAAAGGAAAGAAAGAAGGGAATAGTAGAAAGAAAGAAAGAAAAAAGAAAGAAAGAAAGAAAGGAATAGTAGAAAAAGAAAGAAAGAAAGAAAGAAAGAAAGAAAGAAAGAAAGAAAGAAAGAAAGAGAGAAATAAGGGAATAGTAGAAAGAAAGAAAGAAAGAAAGAAGGGAATAGTAGAAAGAAATAAAGAAACAAAGAAACAAAGAAAGGAATAGTAGAAAGAAAGAAAGAAAGAAAGAAATAAAGAAAGAAAGAAAGAAAGAAAGAGAGAAATAAGGGAATAGTAGAAAGAAAGAAAGAAAGAAAGAAAGAAGGGAATAGTAGAAAGAAATAAAGAAACAAAGAAACAAAGAAAGGAATAGTAGAAAGAAAGAAAGAAAGAAGGAAAGAAAGAAAGAAAGAAAGAAAGAGAGAAATAAGGGAATAGTAGAAAGAAAGAAAGAAAGAAAGAAAGAAAGAAAGAAGGGAATAGTAGAAAGAAATAAAGAAACAAAGAAACAAAGAAAGGAATAGTAGAAAGAAAGAAAGAAAGAAAGAAAGAAAGAAGGAAAGAAAGAAAGAAAGAAAGAAAGAAAGGAATAGTAGAAAGGAAGAAAGAAAGAAAGAAAGAAAGAAAGAAAGAAAGAAAGAAAGAAAGAGAGAAATAAGGGAATAGTAGAAAGAAAGAAAGAAAGAAAGAAAGAAAGAAAGAAAGATAGAAAGAAAGAAGGGAATAGCAGAAAGAAATAAAGAAACAAAGAAACAAAGAAAGGAATAGTAGAAAGAAAGAAAGAAAGAAAGAGAGAAATAAGGGAATAGTAGAAAGAAAGAAAGAAAGAAAGAAAGAAAGAAAGAAAAAGAAAGAAGGGAATAAGTAGAAAGAAATAAAGAAAGAAAAGAAACAAAGTAAGGAATAGTAGAAAGAAAGAAAGAAAGAAAAGGAAGGAATAGTAGAAAGAAAGAAAGAAAGAAAGAAAGAAAGAAAGAGAGAAATAAGGGAATAGTAGAAAGAAAGAAAGAAAGAAAGAAAGAAAGAAAGAAAGAAGGGAATAGTAGAAAGAAATAAAGAAAGAAAGAAACAAAGTAAGGAATAGTAGAAAGAAAGAAAGAAAGAAAGGAAGGAATAGTAGAAAGAAAGAAAGAAAGAAAGAAAGAAAGAAAGAGAGAAATAAGGGAATAGTAGAAAGAAAGAAAGAAAGAAAGAAAGAAAGAAAGAAGGGAATAGTAGAAAGAAATAAACAAAGAAAGAAACAAAGAAAGAAGGGAATAGTAGAAAAAAAAGAAAGAAAGAGTAATAAAGAAAGAAAAGCCAAGTATTACTGAAAAGTTAAAAGAAAGAAAGTAAAAGAAAAAAGAATAAATAAAAAAGAGTCGAGAATTAGGGAAAAGTAGGAAAGAAAAGAAAAGATACAAGTATTTTTGTAAAAGTTGAAAGAAGGAATAAATAAATGAAAAAGAAACTGAATGAAAGAAGGAACGAGTTAAAAAAAACACAAGTACTATTGAAAAGAAAGAAAGAAAAAAATTTAAAAACAGTTGAAAAAATAGGAGAAAGGATGTAAGAAAAATGAAACATGAAAAGGCAAACAATTCGTTAAAAAGTAACAAAAAAAGAAAGAAAGAAAGAAAAATCAAGGGTTAACGAAAAATGAGAAAAAAATAAAATAAAAATTCATAAATGAGAAAGATAGGAATTTATGAATAATTTCAAAATACTGAAAGAAAGAATAATTTACAAAACCAGATATTATTGGAAAGAAAGAAAGAAAGAAAGAAAGAAAGAAAGAAAGAAAGAAAGAATAAACAAAGAGAATTAATAAAAAACTAACAAAAAAAAGAAAAAAGAAGGAAAAGGCTATGTATTATCGAAAGTTTGAATGAAAGAAAAAAAGGAAGCAAAAGTGAAATCAGCAAACATTATTGTAAAGAAAGAAAAAAAGAAAGAAAGAAAGAAATAATGATAGCGGAAAAAGCAAGAATTTTTGGATCAATCAAGAAAGAAGGAAAAATCAAGAATCATTGAAAAGAGAAAGAAAAAAGAAAAAAGAAAGAAAATTAAAGGAAGAAAATTCAAGTATTACAGAAAATAGAAATAAAGTTAAAGAAAAATGGAATGAGCGAAAAGCAGAGAATCAGTGAAAAAAATAGCTAAGAAAAGAAAAGAAAAAGAAAGGAAAAAAAGCCAAGTTTTATCGAAAAAGTAGAAAGAAAGAATAAGTCAAAAGAAAAAATTATTATTGCAAAGAACGAAAGAAAGAAAAGAGAAAGAAATAAAAAAGAAATTCGAAAAATCAAGAATTTATGCATCCATAAAAAGAAAAAGAAGAGTATGAAAAATCAATCACGTAAAATTTGTGGTCATGTGACTTAACTTCTACTCGTCTCCCAGATTCAATAGACGAGCCACCGAGAGAGACAAGGAGGAACTTTTAGACCTCAGCTGGCAAAGGTCAAAGATTTCAGACATTGGTTGACTGGCCAATCCAAGAAAAAGAGAAGCACCAACAGTTAAAATGCTACTGCGACTCCATTTTGAAAGCGCCGAATGGATTCACTCACCTCAAGAATCTTCTGCTTTCATTGTCTTCGCCCAGTTACCATCGAAAATAACCAGCGTGGATAGGCGCGAGGTTGGACACAAAATACATAGGGCATTAAATCGAGATTTCGGATAACGGTCTGGGAACAGCTAACAAGGCGCCTCATATCATGTCAAGTAGAAAGAGGATAAGAAAAGAAATATTCAAATTCACTATAGGAATCTATTAGAGAGATCAATGTTTAAATATGAAACTACGTCCCTCGGAGATAAGATAGAGCTTCAAGATTATCAAAAAAGGAATGCAATGGGCAGAGAAGCAAAATCGAACCCCAGCTGAAGCTTGTTTTGTGCACTAATGCTTTTGGGAAAGGCATGTTAGCACTTTTCCCTACATTCTTCAAATGTCCTTAACATATATTTTATATGACGTTCAAGGTACTCTGATTGGAATATTTTCTTCTTTTTAAATATCGCTCTTCGCTATGGTACGTAGACTTTTAAAAAAAATTTAAACGCAGTACTAGACTGACATCGAGATGTCATTTCCCCGTTGAGCTGGCTAGATGAAACCGTAAGTTCTATGCGAACAGCTTCTTTTCTCGCACTTCTCCTATGTGGAACTCCCTTCCGATTTCATTCTTTCCAGCCAACTTTAATCTGCATATATTTAAATACAATGCCAATCTCTATCTACTGCCCTGATTACTCTTTTCTCTTCCCGCACATTAGTAATATTTCTATTCGTAATTCTTTCACACCCTGTAACCCCTTGTGTCTTAGTGGCTTTACTGCCTTGCACTGAGTAATACCAATTAACCCTAGAACACTAACCATCAATTAAAGTTACACCACTACTAACCCCGGGTATATCATACCCGATTTTGAAAATATCAAAAAAAAAATATTAAATATAAATCTTTATTTGAAGGCACTTCAAACTTTGTACTTTGAGTTAACATTAATAGAAAATGAAAAACATTATTTAGGTAAGAAAATCAGGTACTGAAAATTGTAATTAAAGATAGGATTGTGATTGATAAAGATTGCGCTGGGTACTATATACCCTTGGTTATAGTTCTAGGGTTAAAAAAAAATATCCGTATGTTCTTTATTTGAATTCATTTTATTATTTCTTTTGTAAATGGAAAAAAAAATCTGCTGTTCGTACGCAGATATCAATGACGTAACACATGTTAATGACGTAATACAGATCTCAATGACGTAAACATAGTTTCAAACGACATAGTGATGTCTATAAAAAGTCAGGAATCTTTTTTACAATGTAACGATATTACGAAGAAATATTCAAATTCAGGAATCTATTAGAGATCAATGTTTATATATGAAACTACGTCCCTCGGAGATGAGATAGAGCTTAAAGATTAGCAAAAAGGAATGCAATGGTCATAGGAACAAAATCGAACAATTATAAAATATTAAAAAAAAAAATTAAAGCATTTTCTGATTCTCGAGAAAGATTTAATGAATTCTGATTTACAAAAATTATTTCCTGAAAAAAATATGTCCATATTCTCCATGAGCGGATCATTCTATTTAAATAGTGCCGTTGTGCTAATGTGTCTCAGAATCTAAACTTGCTGGCTTAAATACAATTTTGGAATAAGGCCCAAAAATGCGGAAAGGGCTGTGCCTGGTCTTCACTTACTATCTTCTACCTTAGCTAATCCGATTCCCGACCTATTCACTCGTTACAAATTGCACATCCCCCACAAAAACAAACAAAATAAAGATAACTGATGTTATCTGGATCGGTCAAACCCTCAAAAGATTTAAGAGAGGCCGTTGTATTCTGTCTTTAGACAAAATCAAGGGGTTCTCTCGCTAAGGGAAAGTGAAATGATAAAATAAATACGGCTATAGGGAAGGAAAATAGCTGACCCAGTCGAGATGAAAAAAGGGGCCAAAAATAAACTGGGGAGGTTGAGAATCTCGACTTGGATCCTAACCAAAGAAGGAACTGGTAACAGGCTGGAAATGATACTTACATTAATTAGATACATAAAAACGGTCTATCCTAACCAGAGGATGGCTCCACAGTAAACCACTCCGATGTGACTTAGGTGAATTTGTTATATTCCGTGCTAAGGGAATAAATACTTAAACATCAGATGGATACCAGAAGAAAGGTTTATTGTACACAACAAGTACAATATGAAATACAGTACAGTTATACACACAGGTCAATCTAGTAGTGAGTGCTATTAGTTGGAAGGTCGGACGTGTTTGCGTCATCTCGCTCTCACTCTTCCTCAAGTTTCTTGTAGTCTAGTCTTACTACCTATCGTGTAATCATTCATGGGGGTGACTGGTTATTCCATTACATCAGAATCTAAGAAAGAAAATCAAGGCTAGCCTCGTTCACACGAACTAGACTCGGCTCAGTCACTCACCTTTCACTGAAATCTGTTGAAACCAATCGCTTTCTATCAGTTCTAATCTTCATCTTATTCGCATCAGGATGCAATCGAAAGTAATTGTTTGCGCCTTGTTATTTTTTCGGATGACAAAGCATTTGTCAGCTATGGATAGATCTTTATTAGAACCATGAAAATTTTTCGGTTAATGGGATTTTAACTACGCCATTGCGTGAGAAATATTCTCGCAGGCAAATTAGTTCTTCAGAGTTTATTTCTCTACAGAAGTAGCGCGGATTGATGTTAACTGGAACGGAGACATTTTTTTAAACTTTCCACGAAGTATAAAAATGAAGTATTTTGCTTACCGTGTCTGAAAAAAATACCAGTTTAAATGAAGGTAATACTGAAATGAAGGTAATACCGAATATCAACTCAGGTCGTCTACAGTCTAGACCCTTTTTTACCGTGTTCAGTATAGAAAGAAATCCTGCTGGTAAATATTCAACCCAATCGGTACGGTGCATAGACAGTGCTGTTTTCAGTTGACAATAAAAACATTAGCACAAGACGTTTGCAGAAAGGTAACACGCCCTTTTCTTTATGGGTCTCACACTGATTTAATGTCTTTATGTCCGGTCATTCTACATGTTCTACTGATATCATATAACCAAGTTGAATGGTCAGGTCATCGATGGGTTAACCGAATCTCCCATAATGCTATTCTTATGTAAAGGGTTGCTAGACGCCCAGCAGGATTAAAGAGAAGACCACTTAAAAGGGCAATTAAATTTCTTGTGGCGCCAACCGCCATCTAGCACAAAATAAAGGACGTTACCCCTAATAACGAAACCTAACAATGGTATCTGTCTATATTTCTGAGATGAGGTATTATGTACATTATTTACATTATTCGGACTAATGCCCTCATCTTTGTCGCCATGTTTATTACAACGTTTCGGCCGTTGTACGCTCCGGCCTTCTTCTTAAACATGGCAAGTGGAACTAGAACAGTCTACCCCAGTGAGCGAAATAAAGGGTTCAGTCCGACATTCCAACCACCTGAAGAAGGCCGGAGCGTACAACGGCCGAAACGTTGTAATAAATATGGCGACAAAGATGAGGACAATAGTTTGAATAATGTAAATAATGTGCCTAACAATGGTGTTGCGATATTGTGTAAACCAACTGGGGAAAACTTTTTATCCATATCAATTCACAGAAAACCGAGAAATCCTAAATTTCACTACCATGCTTTTTAGCCTGGTTTTGGGTGTAATCAATTCTACTTTAACAGTTTTATACTTTCTCGGTGGAACGCCCTAGAAGGACAATGGTCTGGTACCCCTGTGGTGTGAATGAGATTCCCTGTGTGATGCATTACTTGGTGCCTTATGCAAAACGTGTGTGTGGTTGGGATATATACCTATGGGATGTGTATTCTACATCCTGCTGTAAAGCCAAGTTTATTCCTCTTGAGTTAAAGGAGGTGTGTATTCTTGTAGCATGGATTTCCGTCGGTTTAGCTAGCAATGTTTACGTATGCATATCGACTAGCAAATTTCAATTTGATAGGAAGTGAATTATAACGCTTGGCATTTTGACGTCTGCCTGGAAGAAAGTCCATTGAATATCGCGGGAAATTTCAATATATATTAATAATGATCTGAATTCGTAAGATTGAAAACTTGTTCCGTTCGTTGCTTGTTACTGAAGACTTGATGGTAGAAGTTTATTGCCAAGTGGGAGGAGAGGCTACTTCGTGTCTTGTATTTGCAGTTTTTACCTACCAAATAAAACAAACGTCTTCGAAAAACTGCAGTTGGCAGCCATAGATTTATTGGAGTTTAAAAACTCTGTATAGATATTTTCCTGACTGCCGAATTTTTGATGCTAGAACATTCGAAGAAAAAATAGGATGCTAAAGTAAAATATTTAGACAGAAGTGCTTTTTTCTGTTGGGATCAAAATACCAATGAGTTTGTGTGGAAAATGGTTGAAAGTTTTGTGGGCCACCCGGAACCTCTTCTCGCCACTGTCCAACGGAGAAATACGCCGTGGTTTGAACACATTACAAGACAAGACAGCCACTACTAGAACATCATACAAGGCACCGTTGAAGGTGGACGTAGGAGAGGACGCCAACACAAAAACTGGTTGGACAATATCAAACAATGGACATGTATAACTGTACCAGAATTGCTGATGGCTGCTGTTGATAGACCGTCGGGGAAATGAGTTAGTGTGGCTTCCGCATTCAGATACGCTCTACGAATACAAAAGTCAAGGGGATGACGAAGATGATGAATATGATAATGATGATGATGCATAAAACCAGCACTTTGACTCAGAACAGAAGTTTAGAAAAATAACACTTCGATCCGATAGAGAAATACAGAAAAGTAGCAACTTGATCAGAGAGAGAAGTACACAAAATTAGCTCTTGAATTCGTGGGAAATTTCAGAAAACTCAAAAATACAGAAAAGTAGAATTTTGATCTCAATACAGAAATGGAGAAAAGTAGCATATTTTTCCGCAACAGAATAGTAGAATAATAGTAGTTGAACAGGTAGCAAATGTGCAGAAAATTGACACTTTGATCAGAGACAAACGTGAGAAAAGCATCACTTTGATCCGGAACTGAAATGCAGAAAAGTAGTACATTGGTGCGAGACAGAATAGCAAAAAACCTGGTACTTGGATCCGTGCAGAAAAGTAACACTTAGCTCCACGACAGAAGTGCAGAACAATTGCACATTGCTCTCCAGACATCAGTACAGAAAAGTAACACTTAGCTCCACGACAGAAGTGCAGAACAATTGCACATTGCTCTCCAGACATCAGTACAGAAAAGTAACACATAGCTCCCGACAGAAGTGCAGAACAATTGCACATTGCTCTCCAGACATCAGTACAGAAAAGTAACACTTAGCTCCACGACAGAAGTGCAGAACAATTGCACATTGCTCTCAGACATCAGTACAGAAAAGTAACACTTAGCTCCACGACAGAAGTGCAGAACAATTGCACATTGCTCTCCAGACATCAGTACAGAAAAGTAACACTTAGCTCCACGACAGAAGTGCAGACCAATTGCACATTGCTCTCCAGACATCAGTACAGAAAAGTAACACTTAGCTCCAACAGAAGTGCAGAACAATTGCACATTGCTCTCCAGACATCAGTACAGAAAAGTAACACTTAGCTCCACGACAGAAGTGCAGAACAATTGCACATTGCTCTCCAGACATCAGTACAGAAAAGTAACACTTAGCTCCACGACAGAAGTGCAGAACAATTGCACATTGCTCTCCAGACGTCAGTACAGAAAAGTAACACTTAGCTCCACGACAGAAGTGCAGAACAATTGCACATTGCTCTCCAGACATCAGTACAGAAAAGTAACACTTAGCTCCACGACAGAAGTGCAAGAACAATTGCACATTGCTCTCCAGACATCAGTACAGAAAAGTAACACTTAGCTCCACGACAGAAGTGCAGAACAATTGCACATTGCTCTCCAGACATCAGTACAGAAAAGTAACACTTAGCTCCACGACAGAAGTGCAGAACAATTGCACATTTATCTCCAGACATCAGTACAGAAAAGTAACACTTAGCTCCACGACAGAAGTGTGGAACAATTGCACATTTTCTCCAGACATCAGTACAGAAAAGTAACACTTAGCTCCACGACAGAAGTGTGGAACAATTGCACATTGCTCTCCAGACATCAGTACAGAAAAGTAACACTTAGCTCCACGACAGAAGTGTGGGAACAATTGCACATTGCTCTCCAGACATCAGTACAGAAAAGTAACACTTAGCTCCACGACAGAAGTGCAGAACAATTGCACATTGCTCTCCAGACATCAGTACAGAAAAGTAACACTTAGCTCCACGACAGAAGTGTGGAACAATTGCACATTGCTCTCCAGACATCAGTACAGAAAAGTAACACTTAGCTCCACGACAGAAGTGCAGAACAATTGCACATTGCTCTCCAGACATCAGTACAGAAAAGTAACACTTAGCTCCACGACAGAAGTGCAGAACAATTGCACATTGCTCTCCAGACATCAGTACAGAAAAGTAACACTTAGCTCCACGACAGAAGTGTGGAACAATTGCACATTGCTCTCCAGACATCAGTACAGAAAAGTAACACTTTAGCTCCACGACAGAAGTGCAGAACAATTGCACATTGCTCTCCAGACATCAGTACAGAAAAGTAACACTTAGCTCCACGACAGAAGTGTGGAACAATTGCACATTGCTCTCCAGACATCAGTACAGAAAAGTAACACTTAGCTCCACGACAGAAGTGCAGAACAATTGCACATTGCTCTCCAGACATCAGTACAGAAAAGTAACACTTAGCTCCACGACAGAAGTGCAGAACAATTGCACATTGCTCTCCAGACATCAGTACAGAAAAAGTAACACTTAGCTCCACGACAGAAGTGTGGAACAATTGCACATTGCTCTCCAGACATCAGTACAGAAAAGTAACACTTAGCTCCACGACAGAAGTGTGGAACAATTGCACATTGCTCTCCAGACATCAGTACAGAAAAGTAACACTTAGCTCCACGACAGAAGTGCAGAACAATTGCACATTGCTCTCCAGACATCAGTACAGAAAAATAACACTTTGCTCCACGACAGAAGTGAAGAACAGTTGCACATTTCTCTCCAGACATCAGTACAGAAAAGTAACACTTTGATCTAAGAGAGAAGTGCAGAAAAGTAGAACATTGATTCTAGACCGAAGTACAAAAACATGGAGTTTTGATCCGAGGAAAACTTGAGGATAAGTAGCACTTTGTTCTGAGACAGGAATGGAGAAAATTATAAAATCTCTCCGTGACAGAAGTGCAGAAAAAACCGCACTGATCAGGGTGAGCAGCACAGAAAAGTAGCATTTTGATCCGAAAACAGAAACGTATGAAAGTTTCACTTTGATCCGAAGACAGAAACGTATGAAAGTTTTACTTTGATCCGAGACAGAAATGTATGAGTTTCACTTTGATCCGAAGACAGAAACGTGTGAAAGTTTCACTTTGATCCGAAGACAGAAACGTATGAAAGTTTTACTTTGATCCGAGACAGAAATGTATGAGTTTCACTTTGATTGAAAGTTTCACTTTGATCCGAAGACAGAAACGTATGAAAGTTTTACTTTGATCCGAGACAGAAATGTATGAGTTTCACTTTGATCCGAAGACCGTGAAAGTTTCACTTTGATCCGAAGACAGAAACGTATGAAAGTTTTACTTTGATCCGAGACAGAAATGTATGAGTTTCACTTTGATCCGAAGACAGAAACGTGTGAAAGTTTCACTTTGATCCGAAGACAGAAACGTATGAAAGTTTTACTTTGATCCGAGACAGAAATGTATGAGTTTCACTTTGATCCGAAGACAGAAACGTGTGAAAGTTTCACTTTGATCCGAAGACAGAAACGTATGAAAGTTTTACTTTGATCCGAGACAGAAATGTATGAGTTTCACTTTGATCCGAAGA